GATATTATCACCAGACAGTTAGTAAGGTTCAACATACAACAGTGTTTTGTTGCATAATAATGTGAAATAAATATAAAAAATGAGCCATTATTGGGATTCTACGTTTATCTGGTACCGGTAGTAGACTATCACCCTTTTGGTAAATGTACAAATTGGCGATTTGTATTTGGTTCATACAAAAGTGTGACTGGGTATCATCATGCTTTGACTAATTATTTTATCAAACAGTCGATAAACGGAATAAAGTGGTTAAGTGGTAAATACTTACTCTAGAATCAGTTCTTCAAAGCCTCCTGGCGTACCGGTACCGGTACGATCATTACATAAAGCGCCGTGGCTTGATCCCCTCACATTCAGAACTTCTTATGCATTAGCATTTATGCTTAACAATACATTATTGTTTCAATCTTTATTAAACTAAGCAATGAGAAACTAGATTTAAACGCCAAAAACAGAGGTTGAACACCTTACTCGCCAATGGCGAGGAAGCTAATTTCTGGAATGAGTTCTCACTACTACGTCATCAAAGGCCGTTTCCGACCCTGGGTCGATTTTCGTTGAAGCGGTTTTTAAAAATTCAAAAGTAGAAAACTAAGTTCAATTTATACAAGCGGTAAACGTTAAAAATCTTAAAAAAATATATAGAATGAAATTTTCCACAAAATTGTTTGCGTGATAACCCACCTTTAAGTAGCTAAGTACAGGTGATAGGCTATTGTTCAGTTGTTACACACTAAATATTGTATTTCATATAATTTTAATAATAGACACTAGACTAGAATAGACTTGGAAAAAGCCAAAAAAAACGCCAAAAAGCAAATTCTGACGCCAAAGGCGTTTGAAAAAAGCCAAAAATGGCAAATTTGGCGTTAAAAAAGCCAATATGACAACCCTGGCACTGGTCACCATAAAATCACACTGTGTTGGTCGGTCATATAAAATTCTTCCCACGCGGAAAAATAAAATAGTAATGGCACAAGCTTATTGAATCATTCATGATAACCTTGCATGATTTTTATTTATTTTAATTGTATGCTTTTATTGCGCTTAGATTGTAAATGCACTGTAAAAATATTAAATTTTAGTTTATCATCCACCAAGTCGCCTTATCTGTGAATTTTCCGAATCCAATGTTTCAGCTGAATTTCACTAATACGGCAAGTGATTATTTAATTCTCTGTTTATACAATGATACAGAATCGGTAGGACAATATATATTGGTACTGTAACTTGATTATTCACAGCGGATGACATTCTTTTTAAATTTAGACCATGAATGCGGAAACCACCCAGAGAAATACAATTTGATTAAGTGGAATACCAACTTGTTTGAACATACTGTACAATGATCAAATTTTATTTCATTATTATCTGGATTAAATTCGTGGCGGTAATTTTAATAGGGGTTGTTCAAAACCGACGGTAGATAAAAAAGACACATTGAACGGATCCATGGAACAATCCAATCCATGCCTGATAATGTTTCTTTTTTCTTACTTCCTCTTAACAACGAGACCAATTATTTGAAAATGTATCAACTAAATTACTGTGGGCATCATGGAAGACGTGATTTGTGTTTTGTGTCAAAATTAAAAATTGCACAACTTGTGGTGATTCTGCTTTCGCGATCGTTGCCATCTGGTGAAGTAATGTGGTCCACGCTTGTACATATATTCAAGCCTCACTCTCTTGTTTTCAAAATCTTTGTCAAAATATAGTTTTCGAGTCATTGAGTTCGGGAATTGTACAAGAACAATATTTTATATATCTTGTAACTTTCGTTGGTCAATATTACTTGAGAGTCCCGACTACATTTGAGAAAATATTTTAAAATATATGGCGTTTTTTTGAATAATTAATTCTGCATAGTATTTATACCGTGTGGGATTCATTTAATAACTGCCGAACAATATTTGCTTGATTCGCAATCGTCGGTCGATATCAGGATAGGATAGGATAGGATTTACATATTTATCCCGGGGGAGAGGAAAGCCGATAAGACGGCTTATCCATATGGCGAACCACGGCCTCTCGTCCGGTTACCATTCCAAGTCGGGTATGGGATTAGTTTTACTGTATTGTTTGTTTTCGCAGGCATGGACTTGGTGGTGGAGGAAGCCGTACGGTACCGTACCCGACCAGCGGTTACGTGAACCACCCAACCACGGCGAGGAGTCCAGCAATCCTCTCGCACATAACCATCCCTGCATGGGATTCGAACCTGCGAACCCACGCAAAGTAATTAGAGGTGCAGTGGCGAGCGTATTCCTAACGCTTAGCCTGTGAGCCACACCGCCGCGCCGCAGGACATTAGTGATAGGCGCAGAAGTTTTGGCTATGAGAATAAGAGCAGTACTGCCTGGTACCGGTATAATAAATCATGATCAAACAGGATTTATTGAAGGAAGAACGATTCATGAAAATTTATTAACTATAAGAGATGACATTTTTTGGGCGAATCAACAAAACCAACCTCTAATAATTTTCAGTATAGACCAAGAAAAGGCGGATCTGGTATAGTTTAGTACCACTTCCACTTCTAGTTGGCCTGGCTCAACAATTTTTGCATATGTCAATCCTAACCCCCACCTGACTACTTCACCGAAAAATTACGTCATTCCGACGTCACAGTGGCGTAATAAGGCTCACCGAAGTATGCGGATGGTCGTCCAAAACGCGCAGACGATAACCCGAAATCGAGCAAGCTATTTCTCTCGTTTTCTCGTCGCAGCGATCACGATAGGAGAGAGATCGCCGGCTTTAGCAAGTTCTTATCGGCGGCGCAGATGCCATTTCGGGTGATCGTAATTATACTTTGGCAATCCCTATGGCGTGATGGTGACATCGTAGTGATGAAATTTTTAGATAGCATAGTCAGTTGAGGGTTAGGAATAACATATGCAAAAATCGTTATGCTACGCCCACTGGAAGTTATACTAGACCCGAAAAGGCTTATGATACAGTTGATAGAGCTTTGTTACTCAAAATATTAAAAAAACTGAATTTCGGCAATTATTTTATTAGATGGGTTAATACCCTATTTAACAACACCAATGCAAAAATAAAAACAAATGGATATTTAACAGTATCAAAGCAGTTTAGAATAACACAAGGAGTTAGACAAGGTTGCCCCCTTGCCCCACTTTTATATATTATAATGTCCGAATTGTTAGCATCCAACATCCGATGCAATAGATCAATTGTAGGTTTTCAAAATTGTACAGGTGAGTTGGAAAAATATAAAGGTTTTGCGGATGACACTATTGTCACAACAGATAGTTTATCCTCCATAGATGAAGTATTAAAACTAATGACAGAATTCAAGAAAGCTACTGGGTTAAGAATAAATATTCCAAAATGCAACATAATGCTTTGTGGATCAGCAAAACGGATTAACTTAGGACCCTCATACAAGGGCATTCAAATGCAGGAAGAATTGAAAATTCTGGGAGCCTCCATAGGAAACAGTATCGTATCCCAGGATAAAAACTGGTTGAAAATCATTAACTCCATTCAAAATGTAGTAAATTCATGGCAGGGACGAAATTTATCCATTATAACAAAAATTTTAATAGCGAAATCGTTAATGTTGTTTAAAGTGTGGCACATTGCCAATTATGAAATTATGCCGGAAAAACTCATTCAAAAATTAGAATCAATAATATGGAAATTCATTTGGAGTAATAAATCTCAACTAGTGTGAAGACAAATTACATCTAGTAATTTCACATCCGGAGGTTTGAACATGTAAGACCTCAGAAGCCAAATAAAGGCTTTTCAGGTCAAATGGATTTTCAAAATACTCAAACACGAAAGTAGGCCATGGAGTAAAAGAGCCATTTATTATATTAATAACTATTGTAATATTTTGTCCATGAATAATTTGGAATGTCTGTATTTGAAAGTCCGATTTGACAAAGTAACTACCATACCAAATTTTTATACAGCCATTATCAATTCATTCAAAGGATGTTAATTTGGAGAGAAATCATCCCTTTAATATTACAGAGGTTAAAAATGAAATTTTATGGTACAATCCCTTGATATCAGATCAAAATTTTCGATTTTCTTCTAAATGGATCCAAGCAGAAGTCATTTCTGTGACTGATATTGTAGATAACACTGTGCATAATTTAACAAATATGATTTACTATATTGATCAAATTGGGAACCACCAAAGAAAGCTTTTTTATTTAAACAGATGCTCTGATGAAATCCAGCAGGTTTAGGGCAATCTACCCATAAGCTGGATAGAACATTCTATCGAGAAATCGTAATTTAATAGAAAATAGACTTGGAATCAATAAATATCAACTCTGATTTATCCAGTAAAAAAATAAGTAATTTATTGAAAATAAGTAAAACTACAGAAATTGCTACACGCCATGACATGTATATTACACAAAAATTCAATTTAAATATCCCAATTGACTGGTCCATAATTTGGCAATATAAACTCCATAACAAGTATAAAATTCGAAGTTGGAAAATTTTACATATTTGCCTACCTACAAGTGACAAATTGAAATATTGGTTTGATGATGAAAATGGAAAATGTGTATTTTGTCATGAAAATGAAGAAATCTGTAATCATTTATTTTGTTTTTGTGATTGGATATTAGATATTTGCAAGCAATATAAGGGAAATTAATTGTGACATAAATATTTCTAACAACATTTGTAGTGAAGTGGAGTCATTAATCATTCAATGTGGAAAATCTGCCATATGGGAATTTAGGAACAGTGTCAAGTATGATGATGTATTCCAAATGCAATGCAATATTTACGGGCAATTTTTAAATGTAAACTCCTAGGTGTAATTAGACTAATGACTAATTTTGATAGGCAAAGAGTAATACTTGATAAATGTGTGGATGATTTACTACAAAAATCTATAATGGGTTGAAAATAACGAAATTTAGATTGTCCTAATTCAGGACGTCTGTCTTTGTAAATGGTTGCATAACATAGTCGGAGAAAAGAAAATTCTAACAGCATGATAGGTTTTCCATTTTCTGTCTAATTGTTTTAAATCTTCTCTTTTTCCATGCTAATATAAAAAAAATATTTATTTATCCATTTTATGATGCTATGCGTATGATGGAATATGGACAATGCTCGATACAAATGGATTTATGACAAATACTGGATTTTCAACATTGGGTTTCATATGTACCGTATAATTAATTGCTTATACGGCTATTGCTTTTTCTACAATTATCTGAATTGGAACTCAATACATGCAATTGTTTTCCAAAAAAAAAAAGTTTGTATGAAACCAAAATTGACACTTTAATTGGCATAATAAAAAAATAAATATATATAATTAAATAATTCCATATTGGCTCTTGAATTCGATTCGGCACAAAAAAAAAATAGTGATTGGCGTTACCGATGTTATGTTATCCATGTTAGGACATTAGTGATTGCCGTTACTGTACTGGTACAACACAGTACTTGGCCGTAGTGACCTAATTTTTTAGGGACACAGTCAGTCAATGGGGGAGGAGTCACATATGCATAAATAGTTGCTTGACTGTGCAAATCTCACTAGAAATTATTGTGGTTCAAAATTACACCAGGCCCTAGGGATGAAAATAAATCCTACGGTACGAACAATTTGAAAAAATAGAAAATATCATTATTGACATTTTATCTTTACTGCATTGAAAATAGAAATACTTTTGAAATTCAAACAAAAATATTTAACTGTACCAATAATATTATTCATATCAAGTCTACATGGAATCTGCTTGCAGTAGTGAAGTTGAAATTCATTCCTCAAGAATAAGAAAACAACCTAAAAATTGTCGATGTGAAGAACACAAAGTGGAATTTAAAAAACGAAAATCATTTAAAAAAAAATTTTGTTTCATATGTGGGCAATTGTTGACCATTACCGATAGTTTGAAAAAACATTTGCGGACTCACATTGAGGAAAAACCACCTGAACCAAGATCATTAAAGAAATATGTGCCACATCTTCCTTGTGTAATATGTGGGCAATTGTGTTCCAATATTGATAGTTTGAAAAAGCATTTGCGGAATCACATTGAAGATAAACCACCTAAACCGAGATCATTAAAGAAATATTTGCCAGCACGTACTTGTGAAATATGTGGGAAGTTATCGGCCAATATCAATAGTCTGAAAGAGCATATGCGAATTCACACTGGAGAGAAACCATACTCTTGTGTGATATGTGAAAGGAGTTTTTCTGTACTTTGTAGCTTGAAACGACATATGAAAACCCACAGTAAAGAACGACCACATTCTTGTGAAACATGTGGGAGATGTTTTGCGGAATCAAGTTCTTTAAAAAGACACGCAAGAATTCACACCGGAGAAAAACCATACTCTTGTGAAATATGTGACAGGGCCTTTGCAATATCTAGTAGCTTAAGACGGCATATGAAAACACATACTGGAGAAAAACCATATTCTTGTGAAATATGTGGAAAATGTTTTACAGAAAGAAATTCTTTAAAATATCACATTAGAAATCACAATGTAGAGAAACCACAATTTTCTGAAACATGGGAGGAATGTTTTGCAGAAACAAGCTTGCTGGAAGTAAGTAAAATGACTTGCTCTGAAGAAAATAATTTTACAGAAACAAGTTTTTTGGAAGGACAAAAAAGAACTCACTCCGGCGATAGTAGTTTTACAAAGACAAGCTGTTTTGAAGAACTTAAAAAAACTCGCTCCGGTGACAATAGTTCTACAGAAACAAGTTTTTCAAAAGAGCATGAAAGAACTTACTCTGGAGATAATAGTTTCACAGAAACAAGCTCTTTTGAAGAACATAAGACAACTCACCCTGGAGAAAATAATTTTACTGATATAAGCTATTTAGAAGAGTATAAAAGGATACACTCTGGAGATAAAACCTATCCTTGTGATACCTGCGGAAAATGTTTTATTGAAGCAAGCTCTTTGAAACGACATATAAGAATTCATACTGGAGAAAAACCATATTGTTGTGAAACATGTGGGAAAGGATTTTCGGTTTCAAGTTCTTTGAAACAACATATGATAACACATACTAATGAAAAGCCACATTCTTGTGAAACATGTGGTAAATGTTTTTCTATGCTAGGTTCTCTGAAACGACATTTAAGAATTCATACTGGAGAAAAACCACACACATGTGAAATATGTGATCGATGCTTTACAGTATCTAGTAGTTTGAAACGACACATGCAAACCCATACTGGAAAGAAATCGTTTGAAGTTTCATTATCGATGGTTCTACAACGCTGAAAATTAGAATTTCACAGCCGATGATGGCCTGGTTAATTAAAGCATCAGATGTAATCATGAAGGCTAACTTGAAAGATTCTGCTCCTTCCAGATCATGTAGTACTCGGTTCGGTAACCATTAGCATTGAAAGAGTCATTTAACATTCATTCAATCAAACTCAAACCTATTCGGAGCCGCAACACCCACTCTAGTGTCAGTGGCAATTAAAACTCCCAGACAACCACATGATGCAACAATCTATAATAATGTGTTATTAGTGAGGAGTAGTTAACTTTATGCCTCCTTTTGCATTGAATCCTTACAGATTCTAACAAAAAACTGCTGTAACCCCTTTTATTCACGGGAGCCGGAGCTCTGAGAACAAAAATCTGAATGTGGCTTCGGAGATACAGGTGCAGATCGCTGATTAAACAGCACCTAACAAGCAGTGGATGCTTGTACAGAGCCTTGTTCAGAGTGGAAGGCATATAAATACATGCTATAAAAAAAAATTTGGGGCAAGTGCTTTATATCTGATGATATATGTAAATTCATGCGATAGTATATGAGCAGTGTCAGTACACTGGCAAAGCACTTGCGAATTGGTATTGAAAAAAAGTCATTACTCTGTTAAATAAACCTTTTCTTGAACCATGTTTGGTGTCCAACACTGACTAAGCATAGCTCAGGTATTGGAGTTGGTGGAATATTAAATGTAGGAACTGAATTGTTCCAGCTCCTAACTATCTAAATGTAATTATTTGTAATTTCCTAATAATTTATTCCAACACTAATTTGTTTTTAATCCCTGCTATTATCTCAAGTATTAGGTTGAATTTGTACATTTAAAAAATTAATTTCAAAATTTGAAAAATCCCACTTCTGTTAAACTGCACTTGGGCTAATGACACTCAATGGCCTTCGGGCTCCTGATACAAGTGAAAAATTTCAAACACGTCCCAGCCCTGCTTGATTAAATAAAGGATGTCGGTCATAAAGTGCAGAACTTTTCTTTCTGGATTCAGACCAAGGATGTCCAAAACGAATTCAATATTTGAATACGTTTGGAATTGGTTATATTAAATTCCCAATATTAGGAATAATTTAGAATTTTATCATTTGATTTTTTTCTTTTGAGGATTTATTATCTTATGATACAATAAAAATTAGTAACTTTAGACAAAATGAAATACAATGTTAGTCTAAATTATTCTGCATGACTAAATTTGATTTTTACAATTTATATGTGTCTTTGAGAATTTTCTTGTTGAATGGACCCATTACAGGATATATTCAATAAATACTTAATAAACGGTTCGGCATCGCTGATTAATAACCACAGTTAATGTTTTCGTTTTTTTATTTTGTTAGTGTGTGAGTGAACAAGCCCAATGTTCTTTTTGTTGCTTCCTCCGATTTCATATATTTTACTTTATGGTGTTATTGATGCTTTTCTATTTTGTTGTTTATCATTGTATTAAAATTTTGCTATGAGTATATAATTGTATCCTATTGTAGGAATTATCAGAATAAAATTTTCAAATCCATCCGGAGTCGGCAACATAAGGCAAACCATGTACCAATATGGAGGTAACTGAATTTTACATCAAGTTGTGACGAAAACCTATGGGCGGGTGGTTATACTCACTTGGCTAAAACAGACAGTCCACGAACTCGTAATGGAACTACAATATTCTCAGTTCAATCGGAGAGCTTGAGGGAAAATCGAAATAAAATTATGGACTGACCTGATACATATACTACGGAATACCCAAGTCAAGTAATTGACCAATTATTTAGGAACAAGAGAGTATTGCAAGTATATGGGCACAATGTCTTTCATTGGTAAATGTCACAGAGCGCAGTTTGATATGATAGTTATAAAATTTGAGATCTGTAGAGATGGGCCTTTTTAATGGATACCCGAAGTAATTGACATGAATGCCTTCGTTTATTTATGTTTGTTACCAATATTTGTTATATACTAGTCATTCTGTTGACATTAATCAACCCTTTGTGAGTGTGCCATAATTATTTAAATAATAACAAAACGAGAATATCGGTCATAGACCGAAGACTTTATCTATCAAAACTGCGGCTTCGATTCATAACTGACTCTATAGTGACACCGTGTGTCTCATCACTAATTGATTAATAACTCGCTAATTATATGACATAGTTCATCCAAAATCGATAGGCTTCTGGTCCGAGATATGATAAATGCACATGCAAAATTTGGAGCAGATTTAACCACGCCTTCGTGAGATATCGTGTGCATCTAACATATACCCCTATCAAATACCTATCTACACACTATACATACATACATATGGCCCACATGGTACAAAACATGTTTAGTATATCAGTGTGGTATATAAATAGGGTTTGCCAACAACTTCTTTTTAGGGTTCAAACCTCTAGATTAAATTTATTTATGAAAGTCTGTCAGTAGTCTGCTGGCTTTTGATGACTTATCTTTTAATTTGGAATATTTTCATTTGTCTTTCTGTCAGAATTAAGTAAAACAACGTCATCCCAATTATTTTGCAAAACCAAATTTAATTGCTATGAATTCACAATAGTGGATTACAAGGATTTTCATTTGTCTTTCTGTCAGAATTAAGTAAAACAACGTCATCCCAATTATTTTGCAAGACCAAATTTAATTGCTATGAATTCACAATAGTGGATTACAAGGATTTCTAACGATCAAACAGACCCATTTCATACTTGAAAAGATTATGTAGGAATATATTTATTCAGTTTTGGCCACGCCTGTTCAGAATACTAACTCTGAACCCAATCTGTCAAAGAGCCAAAACTCTGATTACCGTATTTTACAGACTTTATATCCATTTTTCTCAAAATTACAAGCCACTGTGCCTAATGCATGGATCACTTGCCTACACTCAATGGCAGTACAAGCCCGATGTGCCTCGACAGTGAATAGTCCGTAAAATATGGTAATTTGCTTCCCTAAGCTGAAAACCATAGATAGCCCCCCCCTAAATTATTGACGATAATACATTTAGTCGGCAGTGGTGTAGTGTAATAACACTTGAGTAATACATCTAGCGATGGCTTTGTGAAGATTAAACGCAATATATCTTTCTTACTATTTTCTTTCTATCAAAGTAGCAAAGCTCCGATACTAAATTACTTTTAATACACTTATTAACATCTTCCAATGAATAATCAAAAAAACAATACAGTAACATTAGATAGAAAATAATAATAACAATAATTGAAATATATACACAAGTCAAGATTGGGGGATGTTCCAAGTTACATAAATTCCACTACATACATACCAATCAAAGTTAATTCGCCTAAATATATCAAGTCTGTAATTTTAATAACAGGAGTTTATAATAAATAATCATTGTCATAGCATTATTTGGGTATGTATAATTATATATATAATTATTAGGAGTAAGTTTGGGTTGGCCTAAAGCAGTGTGTAGCCCACAGAAAAGTGCCACAACTTTGAATAGTGTGCGACCTGCGAAATGAGTTTTTAGTTTTGGTTTGTGCGAGTTTCACCCAGTTATTTGTATCTGGCCCTCCTGTATTAAAGGTTGCACACCCCTGGTCTAAAGCATTCAGTTTGTTTACAATAAGTATACATAAAAAGATTTGAAAAACATCGCTACATGGGTATGAGCACAAGGTAGATATAACTATTTGTCAAACATGGTAGAATTTCGGGTAGCACAATGACCAAAGACACTTTGAAACAAAAAGTAATGGTTTCCAGATGCTTCCATTTTCAGGTACTAAAAAGTTGAAAAACCGATTGGCTGTGTATCTAAAGAAAATTGTCTAAAAATACAATTTAGCAAACCTTTTTACTTTGTGTCTAATAGGTCCATGACACATAAATACCAGTGAAAAGGTTCGTTAAAATCGGAGTGAACCCTCAATATAAATGGATAGAAATTATTAACAACAATTCTGACTATTTTACACCATATAAATATACGACATGATTAAAACCATTAGCTGCATAGACATACATATAAGAGCAGATAGGCGTGGAGTGTACAAATTCTGGGTCAATTAACAAATTAAATAAAATAATAATATTAAAGTGAAATGTTTACAAAATCTATGTAGCATTTGATTAAAAGTTGATTTTAATGAAAAAATGAGTCATGCGGGGAATGGTTATTTGTTTTAAAGCTAGAAAGAATCATCATCAGGTTTTCCCAAACTTCTGAGACCGTGGAACTCTGTTTGTGGATTTTATATCTGACAGAACCCCATCCTATGCCGTATCAATTTGTGTGCTTAACCAAGAGGGCTGTGCAAGCGTGTGATCTCCTTTCATAAATTTGAAAACATTGTATTGCAAAATACCAGCAGTAAGTAAGATGTAAGTCCACCACAACATCGAAGGGGAGGCGTTTATTGTATAATAGGGACAGATTCAGGATTAAACAATAACATTCGGTTCGATTCGGTGAATATATTCGATTTGGATAGCCCAACTAACCAATGAGGTCGACCAATGTTTCGTATACAGCACAAACGACATTAATGTGATGAATTTGGTTGCTTTTCATTGCACGGATATTCGACCGCCACGATCAACCCAAAAGATGCAATGAATTTTTGATCGAAATCAATCATTTAAGATTGATACGACTCTTTTCACATTGTTGTGGACCCCCAAGGGTTCGCAAACCCCATTTTGGAAAAACCTGTTCTAGACAGTCACCACATTGGGGAAAGGATTTCCCCACTTCGGGGAAAAGATTTCCTCCCGTTTCAACACTTAATTAATATTGACTGCATTTTACGCATCAGAGCATTACAAAAAATAAAGATTTATATCGAAGATATTTTGTGACATTTAATATTCCTTCTCTTCCTGCTTCAAAAGTGCCAGACCAGTTATTGCCACCTTAGTTTGAAATTTGTGTCAATGTAGCGTGTGGTCCAGTCCGATGCCGCCTACCCAAGTGCAGGCTGATGTTTACCACATTGGAAATCCATATCATAAATCACTAAATTGAGGTGATGTCCATTAAGGGTTGCAAATGCAATGGTGAACCTCTTGCTATAGTGCGGAACATCTCATGCTATATATAGTAGCACTACTAAATTTTGGTAATAGGTGGTTGAAAATAATGAACATGAATATTGAGTGGCAGCTATGAGGTCCAGGATTATTTATCTTAAGTAATATTTACTTGAGGTTTGCTAGGATTTTTCTGTGACAGTGGATGGATTCCATATGCTCTGGTCAATGCTCTATATTGAGAGATGTTGATGTTAAAAAAAACTGTGAGAAAACATCTTCTATGGGTGAAACTATGAAATAAATATATGACCATACCGAAAAATAATGCAAAGCGGTTCATTCACCCAATTTGCTGGGAGGCTTATACTGCGAGATATTTCGACACAAAAACTGCAACTAAAAGTAATCAGACATAAAGAAATAAAATGATAGAAATCTTGTCAAATAGGCTTCAGTTTGGTGTGAATGTCTCCCTCCATATGATACTTGATACTACTTGAAAAATTAATTTGAACAAACTTATCAGAAGGAGAGTACACTTTTGGGCCAGATAGTGTTGTTTAAAATATTGTGCTTTGCGAACCATCTACTTCAGGATACCGAGATGATAAAATTTGTTGTGCTGTGTACATAATATAATATATATAGGTCTCCTTTAACATAACTCTGTTGTAAAGCTAGGACCACATGATAATTAAAAAAAACATAATTGGGATTGGCGTAAAATGTTTACACAAACTAACGAGAAAGATTTCATACATTAAAATAGTTTTAAAACAAGAGGCCATAAAAAGCTGATACATTGAAAGCACATGGTAAAGAGGATTAACATTCAAATTTGATTGTACATACAGAAAATTTGATATTTGAGGAATTGGGAGGGACAGTGGAACCAAGAACCAATCTCATAAGATAAGGTTATGTATTCGAATGAAGATAGGAAGGCTCAGAATATAGACTAACCTTGTGTTGTACTATTTCCACTTGTCTGCCTGCATTGGGTATGGTCATGATCAGGCAGCCGAACATTGATATAAAATTCATGGGAGAAGGTTATTTAATAATAGGATAGGATGGATCAACCATATGCATAAACAAAAATTTTCAAACAGGGGGGTTCTGATATTTCTAATTGCCAAGTTGGACCGTAACAACTAGAGCACTGGTTCTCAACCACTGGTGAGCCACAGAGACATTTTGAGGTGGGCCACAGAACAATTATAAAATGCAAGGGTTGTTGATTGAAAAAATTGATTCGTTAACATAATCAGCTTCACGCGTCTTGGAAAAACAATATATCCAATTGCAAAACATGCCTTATTGTAAAAACGCATTGTGACGCAACAAACACATTCTATGGTCGGATGGTCAGAATAAAAATTCATTCTGAAATATGATCTGTTGCTATTTGTTTTTTAAGTTAGTAGTTTCTTCAAGCATAAAAAATTAGTGGGCCACGGGACTTTCGTGCGACAAAAAGTGGGCCACGAATGAAAAAAGGTTGAGAACCACTGAACTAGAGGGTCCGGTACAAATGCCGGAAAGTGTGGGTTTTCAAGATTTTTGAGGGTCCAAAAGGCGTTTCAAGGTGTGTAAGATATAAAACCTTTTTCTTATATTTTAAAAAATGCTTCTGACTTGCAAATCAAACTTTATTTTTTGTGTTTTTTAATCCAGGTTAAACTGTAGAAAATTGTTCCATGGATATAAATAAATACATTTTTGTCAGTGAGTATCAATCAACTAAAAGAGCGTCAGCTCTAAATCAGTTCGGTCACATTACAATAAAAAATAAAACTTGCATATGCTTCGCTACTGGATAACAAGCCAGTCAGAAAATTATTAGAATCATATTTCCTTATAAGCAAAGTCTGGTGCTTATATCCGATTCCCGGGCCATGTTATATGGAGATGCAGTTTTACAAGAAAATTGCTATACTGAGGAATTAAGGGTAAACAGCCCTTATGGACGGAACATCAATAAAAATTTAAAAAAAAAGCAACAGAACGCACAACTTAAAAACTGAAATACCTCCTAACAATGCCACAAATAAACATTAGATTTTTAGGACATTTTTTACACGACTTAATCTGGACAAGCATCGCTAATACATGATGATGAGCTATCATTTTTCAGAAAAATGCAATTATTTAGAAAGGGCAGTTTAGTGTAAAACTGTTGTTTCTTTAGTACCAGATTTAGGACATTTTTTACACGACTTAATCTGGACAAGCATCACTAATACATGATGATGAGCTATCATTTTTCAGAAAAATGCAATTATTTAGAAAGGGCAGTTTAGTGTAAAACTGTTGTTTCTTTAGTACCAGATGTAGATCATATACTACCAATCTTGGAGTCATCATTTTGCTCCAATTACCTTGAATATTTGGTATTATGATAATTTGGGCGAGTTGACTTTGATGACCGTCTGTCAGTTCATATCACTCCCTCCTGCTTATACAAACTAATTTATTACTTGTTATTATTTTTCATTATTACGACTGTTGTTTTATTTGGTTGACGGAAAAATAAAATCTCTCCCTTTTTATTTAACTGGCATTCTCATGGATTTGGTCAATATCGGCAGAAGCGATCTTTTCCACTAATTCCAGTTAACCCTGTCCAAAAAACAGCAGTGTCTAATTTCCCATGCGACTAACTCATATGGTACCCTCTTATAGGTCCAAAGAATCTCAAGTGCCAACGGGACGAGGGTCGAAAAGCCTCTTTCACAAATTTTGGGGTGTCAACAATTGTTTTTGTCAGTATGACATGATTATTTAGGCCGTGAACATCTTTATGTTAGTTATCTATATTACCGATATATTATTCATGGCCCTAGAACCATGTAACTGAGAAGTCAATGCTGAAAAGTTTAACAGTTTGTGCATAAAAGCTCATAGAGTTGGTTATTTGAAGTTAATGACCCTTAAAGTTCGAAGTTGAAAGGTCACGTTGTTTTTTTCAATCCTACAGCAGCAGAAGCATTGATGAAACTGAATCCTCTGAAGCAGCCTTGATCAAGACTTTGAATAACATCTTTGTCTCCCTGTGAAATTAAAGTGTATATATTGAAAAAATTGATTAGTCCATGCGCTTGGCTATGTCGGGTATGGGATTAGTTATCCAGTTATTTGTTTCAGATGCATGAACTTGATGAAAGTCCACCTCACAGAGGTGACGCCTAGCACATAAATATACTCCGCAGGACACAATCTTGCACGGGTGTTCTTGCTTAGCACAACTGCCAAATAATTTGTTTCAGATGCATGGATTCATGGAGAAAGCCGGTAACAAATCAGCTGATATATGAAAAAAATTACTTTGGCAAAGATGCCAGCAATCTTTCCGCATATAATGATCCGTATTTCCAGCCCAATAAGCAAACCGCCAAATGAGAATTCCGATTCTCAATACAACTTTGCTAAAGGCTCAGTATCAGGGCTCTACAAACTGGGCGTCCCGTCCTCCCCGAGTGGATTGCAGAAGGGCTCCAACAGGGTTTGTGATAAAATATTTTTCAACACTAACAATATTGTATAAATTTAAAAGATGTGAAACCAATACTGGGTTTCACTATCGTTGAAGTAGAGCCAAGATTCTAACTTTTGTGTGAAACTATGCAAGCACATCAGTCAGTCATTATAGGTATTTTATTTATTTTTTCATATACTTTCTGTATTATTAAATTTCACTTTATTTTTATTTTAGTTCATGAGGGTTGCAAAGAAATTTGGCCGTGCCGAGTGGGTTGTGATTAAAAAAAAAACACAATTAATATAACAAACCTGTGTCAGCCTTGGTTTTTCAGCCAAAAATTCTTTATCGAAGTTGCTGTAGTCACTGGCAGATCTCTGAAAAAATGAAAATAAATGTTGATAGCAAGGATTATTCACATGTTTGTGATTTGTTATGTTAGTATTTCTTTCTAATTTACTATCGAAAGAAATGAAAATACCATACAGTACAATCGTAACACAATCTCCATTTTTTATATTTGAAGAAATATTTCAACTCATTCTTGGGATATTTCTTGTTAAAATAATACATAATGAAAGGGTGGAAAAAAGTTGGGAGGCAGCTTGCTCTACCATTCAATCCTAGAACGTTCTGTTCTAGTTCTGTTCCTGTACTAAACTAGACTTGGGCCGGAAATGGGATGAAATTCGATATGAAAAATCCCATCCTCTCATCCTATCAAGAATTTAGAGAAAACGGCCTGCTTTATTTGAAAGTGGGTGAGCATGTCCTTGCTTTCAACAAATTTTCTTAAAAAGAAAAACCTGTGCAGCGCCAAAAGCTGTCTGTTTTAGTGAGCAATTTGAGCAAATCTATTTGAGTAAATCTACCAATACAAAACAACAGAAGAAATCACAGAAGTGTGGTGTGACCTTGCAAAAGCAAATTTTCTCAATTAAAAAACCTTGTACAGTGCCAGAAGCCGTATTTCTGAGTGGACCCATTCTCAAATCTATCCAGGTCGAAAAGTGAAAAGAGACTTACAACTTTAGGTTTGAATGGCGGATCAATTTGTCTTTTTTCCAGTCGTTGGAAATCAATCGATGTGAAGAATGGGTGGTCTTTGACTTCATTGATGACGCCGAGACGATTTTCAGGTTCTTTTTTAAGAAGCTGAAATTGATAACAAATTTTTCAACTGTTTTTTTTATTGAATTTCTGGCAAATAGAATTTTCCTAGATGGCTGAACATGACATGTGATGTCATCGGTTACGATCATAACCAACCAGTTGTGAAGGTGAAGTGGCCATGCGCACTCAGTTGTCTGGTGCACAGTGCAGTTGGTGTTGCTTATTGGTTACTTTGGATTTTGTTTTGAAATTTTACTAAATATACATTTGAACCGGATTACCAAATATAATTCATTTTGATTGCTTTCATACAGTGGGAATAGCAGTTGCATTAGGAGTAGCTTTTTACATAGCAATGGCCGCGTATAACAAATGCGTATAAAAATGTCGCATGGACAAGTTGATATTTGGAAATAATTTATTTTGATTGCTTTAGTGTATGGGCTGATATCGATTTCCCTGGCATCATGACTTGAATTGTTGAATTCAATAGTTAAATAAGAATAAGCCGAGTTTAAAACCCCCGAAAAACCTCAGCGCAATGTTACAGAAATATATTTCTGTTTGTGTATAGAAAGACGCTCTTGATACAGCACCCTGTATTATATACTCACGAAGCCACTGGCACAAAAGCATATAAAAAGGTTGGGTACTCCCGTCGTGTGTGTACCTAGTTAGGGTTAGGCCATAATTTGATTCCGATTTTCCTTATTCTAGTTCTATTACGAGTTCGGCGACTGTCTGTGTTAGCCGAGTGAATATACCCCCTGTTATTAAGTTTCAGTCCCTTTACACAACTTGATGTAAAGTAGGCGAACAAAATTAGGTACCTCCATATTGGTACACACACTCCTGCAGCACCGAAAGTTAAGTACCCTATCCAACTGATAGCACAAGTTTAAATTTTTACCTCCTTTATACAAGCAGTACAATCCTTGGGCATCCATCTTGGAAAGACTGGTTCTTTAGTTAGGATTGCATTGAATAAATCTTCCTCTTCTTCTCCATGGAAGGGTGATTGTCCGAGCATCATTTCATAAAGCAAGACACCGAACGACCACCAGTCCACACCAAATGTATACTTTTTGTTCTGTAGAATCTGTAAAAAGAAATAAAAAGATTGTAAATGGTGATATTCTCGTGGTTTTATTAGTGATTTTTGCTACCAATTCTATTATTGTATGGGATTTTCAGAGGACCTAATGTACCCGATCAGCGCTTTCCAAAATTAAAAGAATGGTTACTACAAACATGACATTTTCACATCACATACATGCCTTGCACTGATATATGAGGAACTATTTTTTTGAAAAGAACGGTATCTACGCGGTATAGCATTTCAGTCTGTTAAATTTTACATAGATCATAGACAGACGAAGGTGTGGATTTTACTTTAGAAGTTTTTCAAAGGGTTAACAATAGAATGAATTGATATTGAGTTGAGATTATACCATCTGAGAGATTTTTTGGGATTTGTCAAGAAGAAAATGATAAAATTGAGGATGAGCCTCGCTGATTTGGAGAGACATTACAGGGTCAGCCAAAAATTGAGGTACAGTCACTCCATTATTTGTCCGTGTTAACTGTAACCCCACTTCTGGCCCACTCTGTTTCTTGGAATTTAAATAGAACTAAACTATTTGGACACTCTCGATAAATAGCGAAGTTTTCCCTGAAATACAAACAGAAAGACTCCAAATTGAGGTATTAGAGAAATGGGATTTGATTTTGCGCTCTTCAAAAAGCTGATGTGGAGGCACCTAATCAGATACGAAACAATAAAATCAGGGAATTTTACCTCAGGAGCGATATAGTCAGGTGTTCCACAAAACGTAGATGCTTTGTTTGTGGCAGTGATATTCTCCCGACACATCCCGAAGTCAGCAATCTTAATGTGGCCGTCACAATCCAACAGAACATTGTCAAGTTTCAGGTCACGATAGACAATTGCTGTACAAATAGAAACAGAACAATGAATAAAGACTAAACAAACTTGGGCGTACCAGGATATTGTGTGTTAAAACAGTGAGCCCTTCTTCCTCGTTTACTTTCTACTTAGGACGCTCCAGAAGTGTGTGTCTACTAATATGGATAAACTAATTTTGTTTGCCTATTTTACATCGAGTTTTGTAATTGGACTGAAACCTATGGGCAGGGGGATATTCTCTTGGTTAACACAGACAGTCCCAGAACTTGTAATAGAACTGAAATAAGGAAAATCGGAATAAAATTATTGCCTAACCCTAACCTGGTATACACTCTATGGGAATACCCATGAAAGTTTGACAGCCACCATACTGTTCTTTTAATTACCCATCATTAGCATATGTATACTATGGAATAACTATATCACACATTTAGAGCTCACATTTTCCATGTAAATACTGCAGGCCTAACACAATTTCAGCGGCATAAAATTTAGCTCTTTGTTCGGTGAAGCGTCCACTTGCTTGAATATGGAACATAAGATCTCCACCATTCAGGTATTCCATCACAAAGAATAAATGGTCCTGAGGAAAAATTTTAAAATCTTAAAAATATAATAACTTATGTTAGGGTGAAGCAAGATTCTCAAATCACTTGGAGGAGTGAACTATGTTTGCCATAGGAAGCCTGACTTTAGCCAGACAAAATGTTACACATATACCATATTTGACAGATCATAAACCGAACCGTCAACAAATTGCTTTTTTTTTTTTTTATTTGTAGGTAATAAAGCACTGCCGGATCCATACAAAAAAACTTCAGCATTAGCAAAGATTAGTATGATTCAGTTTCAAAATTTGACTTAGGCACCTCCAACTCTCTAAATTTATACTCCAGGGATAGGTAGCAACTAAAAATAAGCGACTAAAAACCATTAAAAAAAAGTAGTTTCTGGTTGACAAAGATGGCTCATGTTCTAAGACACAGACTTTGAGAAAACAAAATTTGGAGTACGCGGTCTTTCATAAATTGACTGTTGAAATTGCTTAGTCAAATGTTTGTGAACACTCACATTAGTCTGGTAAGTACAGAACAGATGCGTCAAGTACGGATGTTCACAAGCGAGAGAGAGAACCCTTCGTTCAACCATCGTACATTCAACATCATCATCCTCGACTACGACATCTTTCTTCAAAGCTTTGATCGCATAGAATTTATTGTGACCTTTCAACTCTGCCAGAAGCACCTGGAAAATTGGAAGCAAACATTTTTATAGATATTGTGCATTGAATCGCAGGTTCTTTCTCTTCGACTACTCCTTATTCTGGATCTGCCGTTGACACAAGAATGCTTGATGCTCAGTATCAAATTTAAATAAATAACTAACGGTATTTCTCTTTTTAATTGATTTATCACTTATTTTATTAATAATAATAAAGACGCAGCACACTTTGACAGAAAATAAAAAAATTGCAGCATTGCAAAAGGTGCCTAGTGACTACTCATGGCTCCCAGAGAACCGCTGCATTGCCCACAAGGGGAGGTTAGTTAATGACAACTCATTCTAATTAGATCAATCTAGTCATTATTAATAAATGGTGTCTCGAGTCCAACTTCAGTGAAGCCAATGAGTCGAGATAGTCATGTTTGCAGTGAAAGTGCAAGAGCCCCCTTTTCCTCTCACCTTTCCGAAACTTCCTTTCCCTAGGACCTTCAGTAACCTGAAATCATCGCTCGTGAATTTGACCATGCCGCGTTTACTTGCTCTTGGTGCAGGGATAGGGGCTGCCTGGGGTTTAGAGCCTCCTTGGCCTGACTGTGCTCCCCATAATGGCTCGTAAATTTGACCTGAAGATGTTTGAAAATAGTGTTTAGTAGGGTCTATAATCAACATAAAATGTAAGCAAAATGGTATTCTACATGTCCTTCACTAAGCAAAATTTACCGCATAAAATAACGTTTTTTTTATATCTATAAAAATTGTTAAATATGCTTAAAAACAGAGATTGCCTCGTACAAGTTATCACAAAGCAAGACGCCAAATAAAAGTGGAAAGAGTACTGATAGAAGAGTTGCAAGTTTGCTCAAAGCAAGGTCCCGCACTCACAATTAAAAGTAGGGAGAGTACTGATGGAAAATTAAAAGTTTGCTCAAAGCAAGGTCGTGCTAAAAGCAACATGTATGTTTATAATCCCTGAGACAAAGATGTCATTATGAGTTGTAAGCAGATTTTATAAACGCAGGAGGATCTCAGTAAACAACAGTTTTTACCTGGTTGAAGTAAGATAATGCACAGTCACTTGGAGATAAAGAAGATCTATCAATAATAGAAGATCTGTACCACAAATAATGCTTCAAGACTGAAATATGACTGTAAATATGAAACTTTGTGATATAAATACTCGGAATAGTCAATGGCTTAAAAAATTTGCTTTTGTAGTTTATCCCGCTATTTGTACAAAATATTATGGACCTCGTCCCGTTGAATGTTTGGAAACATTTTGGGAACTTTTTAGATGCTTGGAAGAACGAACAAAAGAAAGTATTACAGCGTAGAATTATATGTTAGTGAACACCAATTGACATAAGAACTGAAGCAAAATAACTTACTGTTGGGCGGAGTTGACATTGGTCTGGGTTGCTTTGGAACTAATAATTGGCTTTGTGGAACGTCTTCATATATGCTGGATTCTGGTGTGGGCAGTTGTTTGGATCCTTTCTCCTGAAAAATATTTTTTTACAGTCAAGATTTTTTTCACCAAAAAATAAGTATAATAGGCTGTAAAGATGTAGTATAGCATGTTTGCGTTTATTTCGGCAACGTTTCTATAACTCCGAAGAGTGGCGATTCGAAATTTCAATGTTGGTATAAGGCAGTGTTCCCCAACCTATAGGGCAGTGTTGCCCAATCTATAAAGCAGTGTTCCCCAACCTATAAGGAAGTGTTCCCCAACCTATAAGGCAGTGTTCCCCAACCTATAAGGCAGTGTTCCCCAACCTATAAGGCAGTGTTCCCCAACCTATGGGTTGCGACCCAAAACTGGGTCGCCTGAAAAGTTTCTTGGTCCATTGTTTCTTCAACATAAACCAAAAAGTTACTAATTTATATACAAGTAAATTTTATTGCTCATTTTATATTTGGTTCGAATCCTATTCCCACTACCTTCTTATGGGTGTAATAAATTGGGCAGGCTGAGACATACAAACCTCTACTGAAGGCAGTTTATCCAACTTCTCCAATGCTGCAGCAAGTAGAGACTGATTTACTCCACAGGTATGCGGCATCTTCTTGTAGCAACGATGGTGAGAACTAGTCCCACATTCTAATGAAAAAATTAATATTTGAAAAATTATTCCGTATTTTTTTTACATAATTTGAAAAGTTGGTATTTGTTGATGTGATGGCCTAGTAATATATTTAAACCAGGGGTGAGCAACAGGCGGCCCACAGGCCACAATCTGGCCCGCCAAGTTATTTAGTGTGGCCCTTGTCAAAACTCAAGATTTTTCCCTATCAAGCATAAAATCTGAATCTGACAGGTAATGTTTAAAAAGGCTCACATGGGTAAAAATACATGAGGTTTTTTGCTATTGTCGCTGCGCTAAATCTATTGTTGTTTTGCTCAGTGCCAGATTATGCTCGTGTAAGCAACAGCCGCATTTCTTTCTCTTACCTTATCCACATGAAAAAACTAAATTTTTTGCGTGGCCCGGCTAAATATATGTAGTTGGTTATAAAGTCCACCGACAAAAAATGTAGCACACCCATGATTCATACGATTTTCCTTTCTGATCCATTTATTTGCAATACCAACACGTCCTTTCAAATAATAGTAACTGCTTACCCATCGTTGGTTTTCAGTGGCTGTTTGTAAAGGGCCTTGTTCGGGCGCTACCGTAGTATGTGCACCAAGATGGTAGACACAGGAACGTAGTATGTGTACCAGGTTGGGGTTAGGCCATAATTTTATTCCAATTTTCCCTATTTTAGTTCTATTATGAATTTGGAGACTAGCCAAGTGACTCCAGTAGTATTTGTACCTGAAATTATGGCCTAACCCTAACCATGTACACATAGTACGTTCCGGTGTTCGCCATCTTGGTTCACATACTACATGAGTACCTTGTTTGGAGTGTAAGTCATGAAAAGATGTCATCAAATTAAAAACACTCACCTTCGCATTTAACTCCTTGCTTGACAAGACCATACAACATGGAACCGCAATGATCGCAAAATGTCGGCCGAAGAAAGGTGCAGACTTTGAACCTGGAAAAAGTTTCAAATATTAGGATTTTGCTTTATTTATTCATATAAAAAATTTTACGCTTTGAGCCTCAATAATGAAATAATGGGAAGAAGAAGGCTTGGCTTGGTTGGCCAGGTTTAATGGTCACTTTCGTGACAGACTTCGTGACAAAAGTAAACACATTTTTCTTCACATTAACAAAAGGATTGCATGTCTTTGAAATGGCCTCAGAGATATATAGCAATCTCAGGATGGAAAAAAAAATTTATACAAAAAATGTAATCAAAAAAGCCTATATCTTACAGACCTCTTAGCCAGTTGCCCCCCCCCCCCCCCCCTCCAATATTATATGAATACTCATGGAATATGGCCCATTCATCTTTACCAATGCATTCACCAATATTTGAGTAAATTTTAAAAATTCACAGAATTGTCGTGGCAAAAAATGAAAATTAGAAGAATTATTTATATTAGTGGGGGGGAGAGGATAACCGGAAATAGCCCATCTACTGAATAGACTTACCTGTGAGGCATGTTGATCTTGAATCTTTCTTTCAGATACTGAAAATAGACAGTGAATAAAATGTATGCTTGGGAAAAGGAATGACAAGAGTGTGAACCAGTTCAAATACCCAAAGTCGCCTTGAGCTGCTGGCCATTAAAAGTTTACATCTTTGAACAATCAACTAGTTCAGCGGTTCCCAAAGGTTGCGCAAAGATTTTTCTCTGATAATTTGGCGCCTCACAGATAAAAAAAGTTTGGGAACCGCTGTACTAGTCGACCATCCCCACACCTAAAAAAAGTTTGGGAACCGCTGTACTAGTCGACCATCCCCACACCTAAAAAAAGTTTGGGAACCGCTGTACTAGTCGACCATCCCCACACCTGATGTAAACTGGAAACTATTTGTCTATCTGACCCCAGTAAACCATTCACTCAGGCACCATGTAACAAAAAGTGCAACATTTTTGTATCCATTTATCCTCAAGACTCAAAAACATGGAATTGTTGCAATGGCAAGGGTTTTCCCAACACCAAACATTGACTTATGTTTTTCGATATCTATATTTCAGAATGTGTTACAGTATAACCCAAATTTGTCCAATCTTGCTTTGAGCACAGAACTAGTACATTGATGTGTTTAGAAATTTAATCTGAATTTTTGTTTTATGCAGTGAAACAATAGCAAATAGATAGAAAAAAATAGCCCATAACTGATTTTATATAATTATCACATAAAAATCAGTATTGATTAATAACAAATAATGCAAAATAAATCCGTTATTTACCACTGTGTGAGCCGATCCGACTGCAGTACGACTGCACGATGCAAGAACACAATAAATGCACTTTTTATGCAACGCAGCTCCACAATCTGGTAGTATGATGTCATAATCGTCATCATTGTTGCATCACCAATATCATCATGATTTGAACAATAACATGCAAGAAAATAAATAAACCAAAATAAATCTTTTGCACCCATAAATGAAAGGTTAGTACACAAAATGAAAGAGATTGCAATTTTGCAATACCCAGTAGAATTACTGAATTTATATTCAATTGCGACCAGTGATAAGATAGGAAATTTTAAGAATGGGTTATTTTTTTGCGTGTCCGGAAAATTCGCCATAGGAAACATATGGTAAAATATTGAATTTTGCAGCAAAAGTAGAACAAGTATTTGTAATAAAAACAGTTAGGTTCATAGTGTTGGGGTATGCACTTAAATAACGAATCTTTTTTAAATAAATAGGTATTTCAAAAACAGCAAAATGCTCTTGCGGCAAATTTTCCTATGCGACGAAATTTCATGCGGCGAATTTTCCTAGAACCATTTTTTTGTATTGAGTCACTAACAACAGGTCCTTTTCTTCAGAAAAAGTATGTATCTCACTATGTAAGCTACATTAAATCTTAATACATGACATTAAAAATGCCAAATTTAATGCCAGTCGCCAACTGCGGTGCACGTTAACCATTAACTGCAGTTGATAATGTTTAAAACATGAAAAAAGTTGCGCGAACCCCTGAAAAACACCACTGCTTGCAACCTTAGGATAAGGTTTTATAGAATGAGACTCATTGTAGCTCATCAAGTGGTTGCTAGAAACTAAGATTATGGTAATTTTTATCCTTGGAGCAAATACATTGTGACTTCAGAGAATAAGGGTATCAAAATATTCACTTTAACTAATATTAGGTTTTACAAAATTTTTGTGCCTTTTTGACTATTACTTTGACTGCTCGGCTGCAAGCAATAAGGTAACAGATTCATGATGGGTCATTGCGGTGGTACCTGGAGGTTACTAAATTGGTTGATGTGAATTGACTAGGTTAATTCCACAACAAAATCTTAAAAGAGCGCATTGTAAGTTTAGTATACGAAACCTATTGCAGAGATAAATCTACAGTAAAATAATTTTTGTATACAACCATTTTTATGTCAGTTAATGCTGACACACGACTTTCTCAAGTCTGACTATTAGGAAAAAGTGCTTGAAAGCACAGAATACAAAAAAACCTACTGCAAAAATGAATCATAATAGCTAAAGTGAAAGGTAAATCTATTTTTATGCAAAGTCATGTTTTATGTGATCAATTCTGAGGTGTCAGTGCAAAAAAGTTCAGGATACCTGAACATAGCGAATATATAATCAATTTTCTACAAAATCGTGTGTTAGTAGAACAAAAAGAATCAAAATTCACGAAAAATTTTCATTTTTTTGTAGAATTTCAATGAAATCTTCGATGATAAATTTCAGTGCTATTCAAAATGGGAATGAAAAAAACTTAGATCCCACAAACCAAAATAATTTGATGTCACCGGGCAAGCAAAACAAAGATTGGTATTATTAGTTTATATTTACAAGGTTTAAATCGCTGGTTGAACCGACACAAACTCCCAAAACGTGCTCTTTACACCTCTTGTGGATTGCTGACTGGCAGACTGAGATAAATAAGTTAAATAAATAAATTGTGAGTATACGATTCGTGTCTATTGGGAGTAATTAAATTATGTTGAGATCATAGGTCAAAGGTCGAACACTTCTGTGGCTTTCATCAGTATATGACATCTTCATGCCTTGGCTCTGCACATACTATTTTCAAACCTTTCTCAGTGGCTAAAATCATATGGCGAACCACAGCCTCTCGTCCGTTACCAGTCCGTATTGGCTATGAGATTAGTTATTTGTTTTTTAGATGCATAGACTTGACAGTGGAGGAAACTGCAACCGGCCAGATGTTACGTGAACCACCCTGCGGTGGCAAGGAGTTTAGTGATCTTCGCACATGATTAACCCTGCATGGGATTTGAACCTGCAAACCCTCGCAGGGTAAATAGAGGTGCCATGGCGAGCGTATTTCTGACGCTTAGCACAATGTGCCACACCACCGAGCTTTGTTGCAAGTAAAATAGCACTATGTAGAAATGACACAAGTCAACCTACAACCGTAAAATACAAATTGAAATGAATATTTTATTCCTAATGCTGAAAACCGTAGGTGATAAATTGTAATTAAATGCCAAATCTTTGAAGTTGAAATCAAGCTCATCAAATATTAATGCAAATCTGACATGAGCAAACCGCAGCCGTCAAAATATTCTCACTTAGCTTAGAACGAATGTCTCTTGGGACAAATTTGGTACCAAAAATCCAATACCTATCAGAAACATCGGCATTTTCTGGTTTTTATTGGTACACATTGCGTTTTGAGCATAAATATTTATTGGAAATACAACACAATGAATTGAATCTCCGGATATATTCAAAAATAATCATACCCAATATTGTAAATCCCTAAAATTGGGAATAACATAGGATAACTTGATTTGAAAAAATTAGTATTTTTAGAATTGACGAGTTATAGTATCTCTTTATTTAACTTTAAACTTCTATCCCATTCCCTAATTTATGCTTTTGTGTAAAAATGTTGAAAAACACTGCAATAATTAATTGAGGAATACTTTTCTAGTGTATTAATTTGTTGACAAAAATATTTGAATTTGTAAATGAAATAATGTCTGTAATTCTTCTATGCAAACAGATAGCAAAATTTGTGGGAACTTTTACATGGGCTTTCTGAAAGAGATATCCAGAACTCCGAACTAAAAGCTGATTGTGCAATTCCAAACCAGAAAATTTTTTGCTCTTAAAAAAAGCAGCAATCTGAGTGTATATGTCAATGTTTAGCCAGATTCTTATTTGGAGTGAAGACTACGGCTGAGCATTTTCGAATACCTTGTGATTTCAGAATCGAATCAAATAATTTTTTCGAATCGAATCTCGAATACTTGGAAATATATAATTGTAAGCGACTTTTTTACAGTAATTGGTCCTGTTTACAAATGAATTACTGAAGACATAGAATACATCACTCAGATAGATTACTGAGCGTTTACACACAATAACAAACACGTTTTATCAATAACTCACTACTGAGTCATATGTTAGAATTGCCTTGAAAAATTATGACTCCAATGAGCAAAAAATGAGGAATTCACCTAGATCATTGGCGAGAAGAAAAAAACAAGATGGCGGCGATTCGAAATTTAGCTTTGAACCGATTCGAATAATTTACTATTCGATTCGAATATCCGATACGAAATGCCCAGCCCTAGGAAGACATAAATAGCCTCCTAAAAAATATTTACAAACCGAGCAGTGTTAGACATATCAGAAATAGTGCCCAATTCAAACTTGTAATAAATGTTTCCTATTCAAGATTTCAAGCCAGGGGAATTCGAAACCATGAATATTAATGAAGGGGTGTCATTTTAAGACCGTTACGACAATTTCTTTCAATTATTTATGAGTGTCTCTAAATTTGACAATAATTTTGTCAATCACAGTTTCAATTTTGGGTTGAATGATGTAGAAAATTCTGAAATTTTAGCCAGTGGTGTAAAAAAAAAATCACAAAAAAAGTATTTTTCATTTTTCCTAATTGTATTCTGAAAAAATTTGAATTTGAAATATAAAATACCTTTGAAATGTTCAAGATATCATTCTAATTTTTTTAAATAGGGATTAGATATTGAATTAGCTTAAGCATAGGTTTTCTGTGAAATATTATTTTAAACTGGGCTAGACCGGGGTGGTCCAATCCCAGGCCCGCGGGCCAAATGTGGCCCGCCGTTTCATTACCTGTGGCCCGTGTCGCATTCGAAGGGTAATCAATAAATCGCATTTAGTCTTGTTTCGTCATAAAATTACCCAGAAAATTGTTTTGACATATTGTTACATCACTAATGTCACTGAATTCACTAGTGTTATGGCTAGCTGACGCAACTAGCGAAGTTTAATGATGTGCTTAGCTAGTCTAAATTGTTAACTGGCTTTCTATCTTTTTGGTCGAGAATATATGCTAACTCTTTTGGCATCATATAAAACTAAGATCGAATGCGGATTCTGTTAGCCTAGGTTGGCTTGATGAATGGCAAATACTGACCAATGTGTTTGCACAATAAAAGTGTTTGTTTTGTATTGCACTGTTTACCTATTCTTGGCACTATTGTGGGTCGCTAACAATGCAAAAATAATTTTGTGGCCATCAGAACCGACAACCTTGGACCATTCTGGTTTAGACAGAGTGATGGATGTCATTTGTCATTTAGTTTGGCAATGCCCAATTGACAAGTTTCTGGTCCTTCGAAAAATAGTGGCACCTCATGTATCAACATATAATTTTCTAGAAACTTTTTTAGATTAAAACACTTCATAAATGATTCTCCTGGGCAATGCCAAATAGGAAAGTATTTGGTAAAATTTGTTAATAGATTAGGGGCGTAGCTGTTTTAACTCCCATATGAAGTGTAAAAAAAAAAAAAATTTTCGAAACCGTTTGCTATTACGTTCTGACTTAGCAATTAGAAGTTGGTTCTCAGTCGTTCTGTTTGTTTAATTTTAATAGAAGTTTATTCAAATTTTTTACTCCATATACACGTTTATATGCCCTCAATTAGTTGCAATTCATTTGAAGGTTTTATGAACACCCTATGCTATTAAAATTAGATAGAAAACTGAGTGCATACCTTTACACTGGTATCCTTGCTTATTCAATCCCCACATGAAATCTTTGCAGACAGAACAGAACGTAGGCTGGCGGAAAAATTTGGCTGTGAATTCGTGACCTTTGACCACATGAACTTTGGCCTTTTTCATCGCACCTCGTCGACGCTGAATCGTTCGCTCTGGAAGTTCCTGGTCTTGCATGACGTCTGAAATAAAAAAGCTTACGTTAAATCGTGCAATTAGATGTGATTTTCATACTCACCTCAAGGTGAGGAAAAGTTGATAGGATGGCAAAACACAGCCTCTTAACAGATTATCATTTCAATCAAGCGTTGGAATAGTTAACCAGATATTCATTTCTGATGTATGAATCTGCTTCAGTAGCAATCTTGTTAAGAATTACGGACGTCCATATATAATAATTTTGGTGTTGGGAATTCACATTGCACTAAATTGAATTTATCTTTTTGCAATATTATAATCTATCTCACATTTTCATCAAAAATAAAACATTAATGAAAAATGGCGAACTACTGCCCAAAAATTATTTGGTCATATCAAGGATTTACCATCAAAGTCCATGCCTGAACCAAACTGGTAACCGTATAAAATACAACGGTTTTTCCATATTATTACAAGTCATCTTACTGTCCTCCTCCGTTATATCTCACATAAACAAGTCAAATATTAGGTGTGATAGACAATTCAGTCTAATATACCAATGCACTATTAATTAAGGGACCAGGTTAACCACATGATTAATCCATCACATAGGCTTTCCTCTACCCATCAAAATACCAACAAAAGTGTATTCTGTTTTATTTAAGCAAGTCATGGAATCATGTGGATAGATCCCCAAATGGGAACACTACTGCCCGAGATTATCTTTCAAACAAGGGGAACACTATGTATCACTACAGGAAATTCCTATTAATAATCAGTGGCAGTATTAATCATTGCCATTATGTTATGTAGCATGATGATGGGAATGTAATCAGGTATGGATACCTATATCCGAGCATGACACATTGCTGGGCCATACTTGAATGTGCGTTTATTTGTCTTGTAATGCATGTGCAAGACCATACTGGCCAAAAATGCAAATGCTCTCCCTTTGATAAATAGTGTGATACAATACGGCTTCAAACTTGGCCATACATGAATGATCAATAAGTATTTTGAACCAATCAAATGCACTAAGATTGGCACAGGCATGCAATAAGTTCTAAAATTACAAATAACTGAGCGTGGTACATGAATGCTTAGGAATTCTTTTTACCAAAATTTAAGGATGGTAGGGCGATGCTGAACAATAGTAATAACAAGTAATAATCTTCCTAGCCTATAGGTTAATATACACACAATATTTTTCACATATGACACTCCTTCATGCCTGATCACACATGATTGAACATAAGATTGTTTGACCAGGTTAAGTAAAGCAGTAGTGACTATATAAATATTTTCATGGGCGTTGTACAAAGCTTGACTACAGTTACATAGTGGGATATAACACAGATTCACGCTTGGTCGCACATGAATGATCAATAGATTCTTAAAATAGCTGTTGCCTTAACCAACACAGTGAACTGATTGTAACCACAAATTCTCACTGCAAATGATGGTGTGCAGAGATGTGTCCATATACAAGTATTTTTCATTCGTGGGATGGAATATTCATGTTTATAATGAGGGAGGGGCAGAGCGGTAAGATGATTTAATAATATGGATAATATGGTGAACCATGGTCTTGTACCCGATTACCGGTCCACGTTGGGTATGGTATTATGGCTATATGAAATATCCAAACCTTCTTTCCCCTTTTGAATATATTAATACTCAAACTCACTAATAAAAGTATTAGGTAGTGTATGAGGTCCATTCATCTTTATCAATGCATTCACCATTATCTGGCTAAATTGTGAAAATTTTCAGCATCATCTTGGCTAATATAGGAGTCATCGTTTTCTTAATATGAGTGGGTAACTGATAAAGGTCAGAATATCCCATCCAAATATTCAATTCTTATATTACGCATAATCAAGTACCAACAGCAATTATATTCACGCCATTGCCATTCATGCATGACCAGTGCTGGGTGCCTATAATGTCAGTCAGGTACCAACAGCAATTATATTCACAGCATTGTCATTCATGCATGACCAGTACTGGCTGCCTATAATGTCAGTCAGGTAACAACAGCAATTATATTCACGCCATGGTCATTCATGCATGACCAGTGCTTGGCTGCCTATAATGTCAGTCAGGTACCAATAGCAATTATATTTACGCCATGGTCATTCATGCATGACCAGTACTGGCTGCCTATAATGTCAGTCAGGTAACAACAGCAATTATATTCACGCCATGGTCATTCATGCATGACCAGTGCTTGGCTGCCTATAATGTCAGTCAGGTACCAACAGCAATTATATTTACGCCATGGTCATTCATGCATGGCCAGTGCTTGGCTGCCTACAATGTCAGTCAGGTACCAACAGCAATTATATTCACCCATGGTCATTCATGCATGACCAGTGCTTGGCTGCCTATAATGTCAGTCAGGGTAACCAACAGCAATTATATTCACACCATGGTCATTCATGCATGACCAGTGCTGGCTGCCTATGATGTCAAACATTGACGCTTTGCCAAGAATCAGAACAGAAACTGTAAGCCAATTATTACTAGAATTGAAATCAAATTAATGCTAAATGCAACCAAAATTATAACTTTCATTAATTGGTAATTTGATCAATTTTCTTTTAAGAAGAACCAAATTTGATGTGGATATTTGCCCAATAACTGACTTGGTTGTCTATGAGTTATTATAATCAGAATTGGAATTGATTAGTAATTTGTTATTTCAATTTTCATGAATCCTGCAATAAAGCATTAAAAGCATAATCCGACAGTTTATGTTCAAAATGTGCACAATGGGTGGAAATCCATAATATTTTTGCTCTTGGATCTGCGTTAAGTCTTTCACAGTTTTGCCTTTATTACTGCAAGGTCAAGCTTTTCATTGAGAGAATTTTTTAATTCGTTGTGTACATGAAAAACTAAATTTTTTGCATGGCCCAGACGTCCGAAGTTGTGTATATGGCTCACCGACAAAAAATGTTGCATGGCCCTGCTTTAGAATGGATATTTGATAGATAAAGTCAAAAATATTATTTTATTATAAATTCGAAATAGGAGATTATTCGGTACTCTGATATCCATAATTTAATTATGGACATAAATAACAAACAGAACACTGTCTGTAATGATATATTCTACATATAAGATAGCCATATATAATTGAGTGGTTTTTGTTATACATCAATAGGCAATAATTACTATACACAAGACATGCTAGTCAAATAATTTACAATCATGATCAATAACTTTTTTCCTTTAAGTAGGTAATAGGTTTTGATTAGTATTGATAAATGAATAATCAATTGATGCGATTGATATGAAGACCAAATATTGAAATAATGAAATTTTCTTAGTTTCAGATGAGAAAACTATTGCCGTTTGGTTTCAGCTGAATAAACACTGATGTCATTTAATTTCTGTTACTTAGCGGTTTGAAGAATAAAGTTTCTAATGACCAACAAAAACAAGACTGAATTGTAGGCCTATGATCCCCAGATGTGACCATATTAAATTCACATAACAGTTTCTTATAGCCATCATTCTATTGTTGTTGCAACTATTCTGTTAGTCGCCTATAAACAGCTATATGGAGCATAGATGTGTAATCTGCGATGCTAACACAGTGAGGTCCAGGGCTTCAGCCACTATGCCAACGCGCCGTCAAGTCATATTAGACAATTGATCGACAAAGCATTAACAATCATAATCAATGACTCTTTTCCTAGAAGTTGCAAGTTTTGATTAACGTTATATCAAAGCTTTGATTATTGTATTTAAATTTGATTGCTAGAATTTAATGACAGTTCGACTAATTTATTATCGTAACAAAATGAACAGAATAAGAAAATTTGTAATTATAAACAATGTTCATTGATTGAGTCAAGGATTCAATTTGATCCGAATATTCGGTGCTCCAGAAGTATGTGTAGCAATATGTAGGTAACTAATTTTGTTCGCCTACTTTACATCAAATTGTGTAAGGGGACGGAAGCCTATGGGCAAGGGCGTATATTCACTTGGCTAACACAGACAGTCCCCAAACTCGTAATATAACTAAAATAAGGGAAATTGGAATAAAATTATGGCCTATCCCTAACCTGGTACACATACTACGGGAGTAACGAATATTCTAACCACTGGGCTGGGAACCACAGTCTATGTGAGATATTTATAGTGCATTCCAGTGATATCATATTCATCTTCAACTGCAAATCAATCATAAACAGGAAAGTGCTCAAGTTAAGACACAACACTAAATGCCGTTTAGTATTTGAGCATAATCTTAGGACGTAAAATTTTACATTTTTTTTGAAATGTTGGTTGCCTGAAAATAAGGTTGGAAACAGCTGTAATGGGCTGTCTGTGTAAGATATTTACGGCACATCCCATTCCATATTCATCTTTAACTGCAGATCAAACAAAAAACACAATAACACAGACTGCCAAAAGGAGCCAATAAATAAAATGAAAGTGATTCCAGCTATGCAAATAATCATATGGCCCTGCTTTTATGAGTTTCATTTCGATTTTTATTTTCATTACAGTCAGACATTTCATCATTAAATTACCTGAGACTTCTTTTTATTAATTAAACTAACATTGAATTTAGATAATATTTAATATATTAATAGTATTTATATAATATTCAAATATTCGGACCAATTTTGAATTTTTTTAAATCAAGGGACTAATTACCAATAATTTCATCTACGATCACAAAAAATGAACCCAATCTAAATTCATGTTTATTTTAAATTCCCGCAGGTTAGTTTCACTGCAATTCTTAAAATTAAAAATGGGAGGGAAACAAAATGTCCACAATATTCAAAGTACAAAATATTCAAAACTGAGTGATCAAGGCTTCCTGTCGGAAATGCCCATATTTCACACAAAACTTTTACATATTCTCAATAATGCAATTTTTGGGACACATTCTAGTTTCTCAAATAGGTATGTCAAATTAAGCCATGATACAATGAAAACACTCTGACAGATACACAAAAAAACTTCAAAGATCACACCTTTACTATCAGAGAAGTGAAAAGTTAAAAAGCTATCTGAA